AAATTACCTTTGTATATTTTGAAACAACTTTCTTATATGTTCAAATTAAAGCAACCAAACCTGCAATGCTAGGGCTATCTTAATTATATTACACTTAAGATATTATAGATGATCAGTGCTTAATAATTGTTTTGAAAGAATAATCTACCTTTTTTTTTTACTTTAGTTAACTTTATAGTGAATGCAAAGTACACACATCAACATATGCATGTTGAATTCTTCTTACTTTAGGGACAATGTGCTTACTTAAGCATTTATGGCTTCTACTAAAATTCTCATCTTAGTTTAGATCCAAGTATTTAGATCTGAATATTTTTTGGAGAGATAAGGGGCAAGCATTAGTTATTTCAGGAGTCCTGATGAAAGCAGTGTGTCGATTTCATAGACCCTGCCAAAGTTGCCTGTGAGAGCATAGTGACTAAGTGATGGCAGAGACTCATGGGCAGAAGCACTAGAAGATGCCTGGGATCCCTGTTCACTTTCCATCCTTTTGAATGGCTCAATCTGGTGCAGTTGGGCAAACCCCACATTTCCATTGCTCCTTCTTTGAAAAGGAAAACATGAGGATAGCACTGTGATTACGAGGTGAATCATTTGGGTATGTGCACCAAGCCATCTGCTATAACCATAGTTATCTCAAATGCCTTTAGGAATACTGGACACACTAATTGTGTGGCACTTGAAGACCTTTTGAGTTGTTTAGAGCATGCAAGCAAAATGGAAGAAGCCTCTGTGTCAATCAACAGACAGCCTTGATTTTTCCTCCACATCGAAATTTATTAATTCTCCATCACTGTACTATGTTATTTCAAAATACTATCTCATAAAATATTCATAACAAATTTGTGAAGTATTATTATTGTCACTTTGTAGCTCAGCAAACTGATGCACATAGTGTTTTGTTATTTCTTCAACTATAAAATACTTTTCAACAGACCTTGTTTTCCCTTTTGTCTCTGTATCCAAAAGTTTGGTACAGTGGGGTGGGAAGCCAGAACTTAAATGCTATCAGTGTGAACTCAGAACTCAAGGTTTTAACCATTATTTGACGATGTTTCTCAGGATATGAGAGTGTGTAATGGGTCAAATGTAACTTAAAGAATGTTAAAACTCATAGTTAAATATACTGAAAGTATGGATTTGTTTCTTGAGGAGGAAAGTAGAGAAAATGGCTAATTTGATTCTTCATACAGAGTTCCATTAAGAAACTTAAGTCTGAGTATAGTTTGGCTTCAAAAATAGAAAACAAATAAAAATATGATTTAATTTAAACTTTTCTTAATCTTATTTGCCTTTCTTGGCATTATTTTATCAGTGCCAAAAGATTCAGTTAGTGACCATGAGTAACTTAAAGTCATTTCTTCCTCAGGCAGTGCTGTAGTTTTCTACATGAAACATAAGATAAAATTAAAAATGACTTGAACACTGGGAAATATTTCTCAGCTCACATAACAGGAGTGCTGGAGGTGTGGTGTCTCCCAGACTGGACAATTCAGTGCCTCAGCCATGTCATCACAAGACTTAATTCTTTTGGTTTTCAACTTTTGTCTTTTTCAATGAGTCACTTACAATCTTTAAGTTTACAAGATGTCTGTAGCAACTTAGGCATTATCTTCCTGTGGAACAAAGTCCTTGTTCCAATTTTTAAAACCAAGAACTCTCCTCCCTGCATCCTTCCATCCAATATATACCCTAGAGCCAATTGTGAATTTATGCTGTTTGACAGCACACAGCTAATAGCTGAGTCTTGCTTTAGAGGCCTAAACGTGGGTGCAAAATCTAGGTCCATCACCTTCTAGCTATGTAAACATGGACATGTTTTTAAAATTCACTGTGGCTTAGTTTTCCTATATTTAAAAAATGAAATAGAACAATGTGCTTACTTTATTGGGTTATTGAAGGAAAAAGTGAGTTAGTATATGTAAAGTTCTTGGAAGTGTTTAATTGCTATTATTTTTATGATGATCATCACAGATGTGAATGTAATTTAACTCATGGAAACATAAGAGATAAGAAAGTATAATTATCTGACTATCCCCTTTAAAAAGACATCAATAAGTTTTAGTTGCATTGTATAATATTTTTCCCATTGATATGATCTGGATGTGGTGTATGAAAGAGGGAAGAAGAATCAAATACTATTTTACCTAAATGTATGTGTGTTTAGATTTTTTAAGTTGTTCACATAGTTGAATATCAGAAGCTAGTCTTACACCAGCCACATTGCCTTCCCCAAAATATTCAGACTTGGCCAGATCATGAAGTTAGAGATGCTAAGTGCATTGAGTGCCTTTAAACATAAGGATAATTAAACTGATAGCTATTTTGTTGAATTTTATTATGAAGTTCCTCAATTAACACTTAGAAAGAAAGGGAATAAGAAAAGAGTCTCAATCTATTTCAATAATAAAATTCCCATTTGCAGTGTTCTTCTACTAGATATAAAATATGTCAGTGCTAAAAATTCCTTTAGTGATGCTAGTATAATCCAGGTCCTTACTAATAAAATTCTCAATTGCAATTATAAAGTTCCATTTCATTTCCTTTCTCTAAGGTTTAATCTCAGTATTAAGACTACTATTTTTTGGCTCTCATGGAACTCTCTGTAATGTAGTAAAATATGGTACAAAGAATGAAGAAACATTTTCAATGAGTCAGAGATAATGACTAGCATTTTATAAGATAAGCATTTCTTAACTTGGGATAGTCTGTGTGCTCCACCAACCCCCCAGAATACAACATAAAATACAAAATTTTCTCAGGCATATTCTCTGTCTCATAGTTTTCCTCTCTCTATGTAATCTTATTTATCATACAAATTAAGAAATATTCTACCAATTTTAATAATGACAACACAAAAAAGTCAACTATGATCCCAATCCCTCTTTAAATATTGAAGATTGAGTACAATCCCTGTCATTTACAATAAAATACATTTACTGCCTCCAAATTTCTCCCATTTAGCCTTTCATGTGCTCTGCTGAAACTGCTCTTGGAATGTCATCAATGACATCCTGAGTCTTCATCTATCAGCACCATTTGCCATATGGATCCTCTATTCTCCTTAAAATCATTTCTTTTCTTGATGCTTTCCATGATCTTGGTTCTTCTTTCTCTCCATCTCCCTGTTTCTACTTATTACTGATTTCTTCCTGTTCCCCCAATTATCTCCCTATTATCTAAATGCTGAAGTCTTTCTGAGTCCCTTCTCTTGGTGATCTCATTCAATTGCATTGTTTCAGTTACCTTCCATCCTTGTTACTATCTTCAGGTGAGTCTTCTTTTTTTTGTACATCATATTGAACTACATACATATCTCCATCTCCACGCAAATGTCTAATAGGAAATGTAAGTTTGAAAAATATGAAATTTGGCTACTTTTCTACTTCACCCCCCACCATCCAAAACATCCAATACCGTTTCTTTCCAGGCTTCCCCATCTCAGCAGCTGCTATTTCCATCTGTCCAGTTTCTCACATCAGAAACTTTGAAGTTATCTTGGAATTCTCTCTACTTTCACATCCCACAACATATACAATTAATTATATCACTGAAATGCATTCAGAATCCAATCACATCTCATCATACACACTATTAACCAGCCTGCTAAAAATCTCCATCATCTTTTTTCCAAATTATTTCAGTTGGCTGCCTGTTTCCAACTTAGCATCACTTTAATCCTCAGCACAGCAAAAAGAAACATTCCCCAAGTCAAATCATTTCATTCCTCTGCCCAAATCTTCCAATGACTTCCTATCTCAATCAGAGTAAAAGCCTAATTTTGGAATACTTAACCTTTAGATGATATAATACATTTGTATGATTCTGATCTCTTAAGGGATAATATTCTCAGAAAAGCTAAAATAATCTTTGAAGTTAAGAAAAAATATAGCTCTAAAATTTAATTGCATATTGATGAAAAATCAGGTGCAATTTATACTGTATTTCTAGATCATCTCTTCAATCAAATCTTAAAGGCTACTTTTGCCTCTTCAGTGCAATTTTCATATAATTAGAAGAACACTGTGGAAAACCCTAATTTTTCTATTTGCTTGAATTTTTGTTATTTGCTCTCACATTGCACAAGCTTTTTTTTTAATCTTTAAGAGGAGGATTTATAGGTTGTAGTTTTTCCTGGTTTTATCCACTGAAGTTACTAGAAGTTAAAATATTTTTTAATTTCAAGGTACTGTGATGTCTAATGAGGATAAATCTAATTAATTTAGTTTGAGTTTTATATAATCTCTACCATGACAATTCCACATTGTCACAAGTAAATATAAATAGATCAATCAGTATTTTGTTTTAGTTTTTCTTTGAAGAAAATCTGGCATTTTACTTTATTTTTTGCTTTTTTATTATATTATTGCATTGGGGGTATATTGTAACATTTACAAAAGTTCCTATAACATATCATAGTTAAATTAATTCCCTCCATTATTTTCCTGTATCCTTCTTCCCTCCATTCTTAGAATAGTCTCAACAGGTCTCATTTTACCATCTTCATACAAGAGTACATAATATTTTAATTTAGTCACAGTTGTATTAGTCAATTTGCAGACTGCTGTTTGAAAATTACAAAGCTATCTTTCCCATAATGCTGCCAAGTACAATATGGTCCAAAAATGATTCCTTTTTTCATTCTTAAACATCCACAATATAGGGTTTATTTGAAATTTGGGTGATCCAAATCCTAATTATTTGACTCATTCCTAACTTTTCCCTGTCCTGAAGTATAATTTAGGTTATGAGCCTCTTAAAGACAATTCCTTTCTGAATAATTTCATAATTACAAAGATATACTATAGCTTCTTTTTTAACTGAATAGACATACAATAACAAGATACAGTTTCTATTTCTGTACCAAAAAATATAACCAAGAGATATTTAAATTCTTGAAACTGATATATTCATTGTCAAAGGAAAAAATGAAGGAAAACTTTTTTTAGTTTTCTTGAGAATAACTGTGAAATTTTTCTTTTGTTTGAAATTCCTTTTAGCAAGCTCCATTGCCAAGATTGGCTCAGATCCTCTAAAACTCGTCAATGATGCTGTGGAGGAAACCACAGACTGGATCTATGGCTTCTTTTCTTTGTTGTCTGACATAATCTCATCAGAAGGGGATGAAGAAGATGATGATGGAGATGAGGACATTGATAAAGGTACAGAGAGCATAGAGTTATATCTTCTTGCTAGGACCAATATTAGGTATGTAGGACAGTGACTCACTTAGGTTTTAGCCCAAATGAGCATTTGGGTTAGGTTAAACTAAAATGAATATACTCTGAGTATGAACAGTATTTCAATAGACTTCCAAATACAGTAAACTGTTGTCTATTTGGTTTTCATCTAATAGTTCATCTACCATTATGGCAAATTTGTCAAAATTAAATATTACCATTAGGGTAGCATTATAGTAGAGGGAATCTTATTACACATGCTTACAAATACACCATAGATAATCACATTTATATACACATTTGAGCAAAAGTTGTGGCTATTTTTCAAGTTTATCTATAAGAAGATTGAAATAAAACCTACAAAAAATAGAAAACATAAATGCTTTATGCACATAAGTCTTATTCACAGTCAACTAAGAGGCAGCAATCTTACTAAAAGCACAATCAAAACAATAAATTTATTGAGCCAAATGGAAGTATAGAATGAAAAGACACAATCTAAATGTCACAGTAATTATGAAGCTAACCTATGTGTTTTCTCATATCTAGTAATGAATAAAAGGAAATAGCAAAATTAACCCATACATATATGACCATTGAATGGGTATGAAAAGGACAAAGTACCATGATTCTGCCTGTAAAATGACATTTTTTAGGGAGTCAGACTTAGCTATCAGAGCATATATATTCAGCCTTGGCTAACAGCAAAGCCCTTAGTATTAGAGCCCCTTCTAAGACTTTGTCTACATTTATATTTGTTCTGCCTTCAGTGAGAAGTCACAATGAACAAGAGAAAATTGAAGTTAACATGATGTATGACCTATAATGTATAATTTGGACCACTGCCACAATTTTAGTGAGCTCATAAAATAAGCTATCTCAAATAAATTTATATAACTAAAGTTTATACTTTGGAATTTGGGAAGCAAAACGATAAAAGACATCTGATTGTCAAAATAATGTTTTTTTAAAGAAATGAAAGAAAAAGGATAAATAGTGAAACTATATTATGTCATGTTATAAGTTTCTCTAATTTACTATTTTTTGTTTAGGAGAAATAGAGGAGCCTCCCTTGGAAAAAAAAGGTTGGTTGGATGTTATTACTTTTGAAAAAATTCTTTTCCTTTTATTATATTGTTGATTTTCAACATGCTGCAAATATATTTTACTTATAAAATTGTTACATTAAATTTATTTTTAATACAGAGATTTTGTTTAATGGCTGGATCAAAGTTTATAGTCTGGAAAAAACTGTTCAATTTCTTCCAGTGAAGGTCATCCCCTATTTTTTCAGTTGATTATTTAGGATGCCTTAGTCTGTGGGTTCATGCATGTCCACCTATATACAGAGGAGTATGGGTTGGAATTTCAGGAATGAGGGCAGAATTCTGGAGTTATGGAAATAGCACAGAAAAAGATGAGGCTTGTTATCTTTATTCTCATTTTCTCTAGATTTATTGAGTTTTAATTTTAATTATTATATTTTCCTCTTAGTTTATTGTCAATATTACTTTGAATTTTAGGGAACAGTTATGGTACACAAGGGCTGAAATAGTGTGGAGCATAATGACCTTGGAGGCAAAGGCATATCAGTCATTAGGTATCATGTGTATCCCAAGGAGAGTAGTCATCTGTGGTGCTGGAATGTGATAGCTGAGGTCTTCAGTAGCTGAGCACAGAGATCACAATCCAAAAGTTGAAAAGAATATGACTAGGAGAAAGGATTCAGCTTTGGAGCAAGAACTTTTACAGAATGTTGCAGGAATTAACTCTGGAAGAGGAGCCAGGGAGTCCAGGTGTGATCCTGAGTTACATTCAGTGCCAAAGAAAAATCATTCAACACTTGGCCAGACTTGATTGACTTGTGATGTTTTAGTTACTGCTGCACTTGTCCACCAGCAGGTTGTTGTGATATCTATTCCAGCAGATACTATGCTGGCCTCTGTTGCTCTTCCAAGACCTTCTGTGGACTCAATAGTGGGACCCAACATGGGGCTTTAGCAGTGCCTGAGCAGATGGTGACTGCCACTAATAGCTGGGGAAAATCCACTTAGGGCATGTTATTGAGCAAATTAGAATTTGAAACTTCTGTAACAAAAAAAAAAAAAAAGAAGAAGAAGAAGAGCTCAGCTGGCGAAACATAAGTGTGGTTAAGTTATCCAGAAAAGAATGCACATATGAAACTCTAAGGAGAAAGGGAAATCAGGATGAGAACTCAACAGCTCCAAACAGAATTCAGCCCTAGAGTTCAGGTTTAGAAATTCTAGATTAGTCTATAAACTTCTAAGGTTCATAAACAGGTTTTTAAAATATATTTATTTCATAGCTGATCTCCACTGACTGGAATGTTAAGCTAATGGGCTACTACTGGTCATTGTCTGGAAATGACAGTTATTCATTTATTTACTTTTAATTGTTGTGTTGGGTAGGGGTACTTTATAGCATTTTCAAATGTTCTTACAGTATATCAAATATATCATACTTGAATTCACCCCCTCCATCATTGTTCTGAAATGACAGTTGGTTTCATGTTTATTTCATCTGGAGATAAAAGAGAACTGTGGAGGACACAATGTAGCCCCACCCAGCACAACAACAGAGGAAAAAAAAAGAGAGAAAAACAAACAAAAAAGATTTTCTCAGTTATAAATTGAATCCCATGAATAATATAAGATCATGTTAGCACCATTTAACAAACAATATCTTCTTTCTTTCTGATTTGAATTTTCCTGTGGAATTATTTCAAAATTACTCTGCAGGTAATGATTAGCAAATATTGAAAATCCACAAAGTTGTTTAAGTATTTTTCCATGAATTATTGCCTTGATTCATCAAATCAGAAAAAAAGATTATTAAATGGTTGTTTAGGAAAATTTTTAAAATGTCACTATGACTGAGAAGTCAAAAGAGGGATATATGTGTTTTAAACTTTACATACACTAATGTCTTGAAGGACTACATACCCCAAATTAGGAGGAGAACTGATTTGAAATCACTTGAATATATTTTCTTAGCAACATTATTTTCAAAGTTACATGGAAAATGGACATTTAGGGAAATATCTTATATACTTATACTCTACTCCAAGATAAGTATGAAAGCTAATAAATGATAGATATTAATTGAAAACTTATTAAAGGATATATATTTTATTGTAATTATTATTTTTACATATAAACTTTCATAGAGTCATGGAGTCAATGTGAGTTTTAAATCAGTATGTAGTATTTTGTAAAACATTTCTAATACACATTCTGCATTTAAAATTACAGGTTTAAATTTATTAATGAAGAAGTGATTCTATTAGCTTATTCCTATTTCATCATGGATTTTTTATACACTTATATTTAAAATTTTTGTTTAAGAAGTATTTTTGACAATGTAGAATGATAATCTCTTAAAACATTTGATTTCTTACATTTAGATGACTCTGCATTACTGCTCTTTCCAATTCATATAGGCTCAATACGTAGCCATTTTATATTATTGAACTTATCAGTCTGTAACAGTAGCATTTTTTATTCAACTGCCCTGTATCTACCTAAGGCATTTTATTTAAATGTACTTAAAATTTTAGTTTTATTTTCCCAGTTACTATTGTTCCTACCCAAATAAAAAATTCTACCTTCTTGTTATTTATAGGTGAAGCTAGCAGTTCTAGTGTGATGTGGAATAATGGTCCACTCAGCTAATCTCAGGGTTGCATTTGATTATTAAACAGGTTATTAATATGGATGAAATTTTTGAATGCTAGTTTTTGGCTATATTGTTATATATAAATATAGCTTAAGGGCATTACATGTAGTCCCTAGTGTCTTTATATTCTTTATGAATATTTATTTTTCAACTTGTCAATTTTAAAATAAGTTCTATTACAAAGCACTCCATAATGAGTATCCAAAGCACTGAACCTGTAAAAATACCATTTTTATTATGTAATTATCTAAAACTTTTAACTATGGATACCTAACAACCTTGTAAATCCTATTTCCTGGATCAGTTATGTGCTGTACATAGTTGGGTACTTTGTTATCTAGGTCTGTCCTGTTGAGCAGCATTTTCATGCCAAGACACACATCATGAATATGTTATACCTCACTTTCTAGGGGGTTCACAAGTGCAGAAACTTTATACGAATGAGATACTCTTCATATGCTTTTCTAAATTGATCTGCTTGAATATATACATAAATTCAGAAATTATTACTTATACTTTATAAGATAAAGAAATATTCGTTCATAATTTCTAGAGTGTTAACCAAAAAGATGCCTAACTAGTGGATCTTCTGGCTCTGTCTAAAACATATTATCTGCTAATCAAGAAGCATGCTGTATAGCTGGTGTTCTGTGTCTTGACATGATGCTCTGAAGTCAGAGATGTGGTAGAAAGGGGTGGTGGGAGCAATGCCATGTTTCATTTAATAGTTTTGCTTTTTATTTGCCTGAGTAATATGAAAGAGTGCATTGCTCTTGAGAGAGGTTCTCATGAGAGCAAATATCGGTAGGAAATAATAAAATCTAAAAATGGTTCTTAAAAATTTGAATGTAAGCAGTTTTTTTTTCAATAGTGGTTCCTAGAGAGTATCATTGCCTTGAAGTAAAAGCACTTTGAAGCAACCAAAGTAGTGTAGTTAGTAACAATAATTCCTTTAAATACACCTGGGAGACTTCTCAGACAACGAAACTTTTAAAGACACGTGAATAAATTCTTGGAATCCCCTTTTCTATGATTCCTTCTCAACAATTCTATACTTTTCAAAAAGAATGTTAAAACAACCTGACAAATTATATTATGAAATATTTAACCGAATTATGGGAAAAGTTCATATTAGTTCACCAAATAAAAATCTTTAGTTCTACCTCTTATTAACAAAATAATAATATTTTAGCTATATACATATATATCTGTATGTGTACATATATGAATGTGTGTATATATAATATATATCCTGGATATATAATATATATCCTGTATATATTATTCATAAGTGCTATAATCTCTGGTTAAAAACTAAAACTATATGCTAACTGTTGGGTGAACAGATACATATGTATATTCAGTATGTTATCTCTATTTCTTAGTATAAAAATTTTATCTTGATAACTAAAACAAATTTATTTTTTATTAAACTTATTTAATTATTCTCAAAAGTAAAACTTTGGGGCTTGATGTTTCCCTCATACATATATTACCAAACTTTTAAACTTTTGAAATCTTACTTCTAGCTTCATAAAGAATTTTAAAAAATTATGCGTATGTGATATAATATTAGTCTAAGTAGAATAGTATACAATACAATATTGCCAATGTCTCATTGTATAACTATTTCTAAAATAAAATTATTTAGTAAATTCACATTACTTTAAATTTTTACTTAAAATCCTCATCTGCTTTAAATAACATGTCTTCCACATGTGTTACAAATTTATTGTTTTCTTAATTCTCTCAAAATATGAATTAACACTATTTTCATTGAAAACAAAGTTATATTTTTTGACAGAAAGTAAACTTATTTTGGTTACAGATTTGAAATCAAAGGCCTTCTTTGTTCGTTGGGTAACACGATAAACATTTCTCATAAAAGTTTGCGGCAGCTGCAAGAATTAGATTAAAGCAAGAAATATATTTAAAAGCACATAAGACAACATAATTATGTCCAAAATTGTTACAATTCGGAATATTTCTTTCCTATCCCTTTCCAATCATATTGTTTATGAAAGGCTCAACTATGAGAGTGTAGAAGATATGTCTGATGGTCATTGCAGTATCTGAGAAATCTCCTTTATTTTCCAGAAGTTCACAAAGTCAATGTCTTTGAGGACAGAGAACAAATACTTTGTAAATCATGTGTTTTTCGAATCTTTGTTTCTAATAAAAGTGAAGATGGCATGAATTACCTAGCTAAAAGATCACTGAAAATAAATTTCTTAGCCAGGGGTCGTGATGTATGGCCGATAATTTCAGCACCCTGGAGGCTAAGGCAATATGATTTCAAGTTCCAGGCCAATCCGTGCTGCACGGTGAGAACCTGTTTCAAAGAAGGAAAAATAAAAAGGAACAGAAAAGAAAGGAAAAGAAATTTCTT